CACACACACACACACACACACACACACACACACACACACACACACACACACACACACACACACACACACACACACACTTTTGGTGACAGGAGGGTTCCTTTGTCTGCCAATTGCAGGGTCCGCTGAGTCTGAGGATACCCATCTTTATGACATTTTAATTCACCCTTTTAAAGCGACCGCTTTTACCGTCTCCACACTGGAAAATTCGAAGGACCTGCAGATGACAATGGAAAGTATTTTCTATCCCACCACTCTTCTCGTTTTTAATGGCAGCCCCGCCTCGGTCGGCTCCAGATGTCACAGTGTTTTAAGAGAACGAGGGGCTGTCGATCTGGAAAAAGCCTAGAGTTTGATTCTGGACGAGACGTAGCTCGCACAGCTGCTTTGCTCTCCCACCAGGGGAAGGCAATCATCTGCCAAAGGGCCTGGAGAGTTAGATGAACCATTTGTTTGCGAGTGCACTGAAGAGTTGATGTGAAGGGCTGTAAACATTTATTGCTGTTTTTTTTTCTGCCTCTATTTGCATTATGGTTCAACGCACCACCTGGAGGTTTGAAGATAAACGTAGTGCTAGTCCCTTGTTTTTTTTCTTCCTATCAGAGTTAAGCCTTTAATTTCATTTGGATTACCAAATGGAGGTTTTTGACCACAGTTTTATGGCACGAGAGGAATGTAGGGTGTTTACATTTTTGAAATGGGAAGCAAACACATAAACTAAGATCGTTCTTATCTGCATTAAATGTCAAAGAGTTATGAACGGTTAATGTAGCAGTACTGCAGGTGAGTCAAAAGTCACAGAACACCCTTTTATTTCAGAAACGAATGAGGAAATGAAATATCTGAACACCCCAGCAAGTAATGGGTGAGAGGACTTATATTTTAGGGTATGTCCAGAACATGGCCACCATCTTGAAAGCTGCCATATTGGATAAATGTCAAATGCTCCCAATGGGAAGGTGGTCATCTATAACGGAGAAGACCAGAATTGTCTCAGCAGTTGATTACCGCAGTCAGATTTGCAAATATCTCTTGACAACAACTGAGAACATCGTCTGTTATTTGATGTGTTCAATACGCTGCCTTCTCATATTTGATCCAATGCTTCAAACCATGTTCTGGTCCCCTCACCTATTACTTTCTGTGGTTTTCAGATTTTTAATTTTCTCTTTCACTTCTGGGGAAACAAAAGGGTGTCCTGAGGCTTTTGACTCACCCTGTGCCATGCGTTAGCTTTAAATATCAGTGATTACTTTCATCTCGAGCAACTCTAGAACAGAGTACTTTCAGGACCTCTTTGACCCGAGGTGGATTTTATTTAAAACGAACAGAAACAGTTTAAAATGAAGGACATTATTGTTTATTTTTGTTGTATTAAAATGAACAACATGCACATACTAGCCCACAGAAACTGTCAAATGTATTTACTGGATTGAGTCAATATGCTGTATGAAATAATACTTACTGTGATGTGACTTTAAATTTTACTCTTCAGACTGAGATATTGTGATATCTCAAGCATGTTTTCTTGGAGCTGCACCAGCTAAATTTAGCTTTATGGGAACTATAAAGAGCTCGAGGAGTTTCACTTTGTTTCCAGCTTAGTTTTTCACTGTGCCGATTTCTGCACTGGTATAATGTGGTGTTTTTAATCTGGACGTTTTGGATCATTGGCAGTATTCTGGCTGGGACTCTTCTAGTTGATGCCAAATCCCAAACAATTCATTCATTTTGAACAACAACAACAACAAAAGTCTTTATGCAAGACAAATAATCTGTTAAACATAAATTCTTGGCATGTTCAGAGTCTAATAAAACTGTTTTAGTGATTGTGTTTACGATGCTTGCAAGTATTAAATTTATTTTCTGCAGTACTTTTTTTAAAAACAACCACCTTCATATCTCTCAATATACTCTAAATTAGACTTTTCGTTTTGTTTGTGGAACTTATAGTTTATAAATGGCTATTAAGAGCTTGTTGTATTTTAGTTCTTTTCTTTTTATATTTAAATGTCTTGGCCTCAACACATCATTTATCAGCTTATATTTAAAGCTGTTTTTATTTGTACAGATATATTCATGAATTGTGTTTTAAAAAATGTTGGTGGTAATATATAT